TAGTAGTTAGCCTCTACCGTACAATGTAAAACAAAATGAAAATAAAGGCCTCTAGTGTCAATGTAACAATCAAATAAGTATTGTGAAGATTTTATATTCTGTGTCCCTGTCCTTTTAAGCCTCCAATGTTAAACATGTTGTTTAGAAACTGCAGGTTAAATCCACCTCTAGTGGTTGTCCTGATAGTCACTAGAGGTGATTCATGAAATGGAAGCTCATAGGATACAATGCTTTCCTATGGGGAAGATTGGATGCTTGTGCGGTGCTGGTCACGCATGAGCCTCAAGCCCTCTATGAGACCTTTGATCATCTGGGAATACATGGATGTAACAATCCCATCACTTTCAAAAAATAGTGTTACATGAGCATTTTTGATTGTATTACTGATCATTTTGTATTCTTTGAATTCTAACAGAAATTCCCTTTTTTTGTGTCCAAATAGGCTGCTGAGAATAGTGAAAAAAAACCCTAAAGGGGTCCTTGAGATAGATAAACTAATTTAATTAAACACCCTGAAACTTGACCTCTCAGCACTCTTAGTTATGAGATTCTAGTTCAGTTGTACATGAAAATATCTCTGACACATGTAAGCCTACTATAAGATACTACAACATAAAATAAAAAAGTCATGATTTTATTCTTTTTTTTTTTTAACAACCTTTAGTTTTATTGGCAATCTTTAGTAGTTTATCATGGTGGATGAATTACTCTAGGAAGTCAACGCTCCAGAGTTAACAGTCTACCTGTTTAGACACATATCTGCTTCTACCTCTGCTCCAGTAGTGACAGTATCTCTTTGCAGGCCTTGAATGTGGCCATACCCATCTTGGGGACATTTGCCCAACATTAACAATTTGCAATGTCTCCTCCTGAATTTAGGATGCTCCCAATGTGCTACTTCCAGACATTGAAAAACAGAATTAGGGATAACAACACACGAGAAGGATTTGGGAATTGTTATAGACAACAAACTAGGCAACTATGTGCAATGTCAATCGGCAGTTGCCAAAATGGTACTGTCAAGTATAAATAGGGGAATTAATTCATGAGATGAAAATATAATTTTGCCTCTTTATAAATCACTGGTAAAATCACGCCTTGAATATGCTGAGAAATTCTGGGTACCTTTTCTAAAGAATGATATTATAGCACTAGAAAACACTGCACAGGCAGGCTACAAAATTAAGAAAAGAAATGGAACATTGTAGTTAAGAAGAAAGGTTAACACATTTAAATTTCTATAGTATAAAAAAACAACACCTTTAGATGGGATATTATAGCATTATGCAAATATATTCATAGCCAATACAAACCATTGTCTGGAAATCTATTCATAAACAGGCATGTACATAGGTAATGCAAGGCCATGCATTTAGACTGGAAACAAGGAGATTTAGTTAAAGGCAAAGGAAAGTTGTTGATTTTTTTATAGTAAGAACAATAAAGATGTGGAATTTTCTGCCTGAATATGTGGTTTTATCAGAATCTGTACAGATGTTCAAACAGCAATTGGATGATTACTTGCCAACCATAATATTCAGGGATATAATTTTCAATTTGTGGGGTAAAAGCTACTTGTTCCAAGGACAAATCTGACTGCCATTTTGGGGTCAAGAAGGAATTTTTTCCTAGTTTTTTGCAAAATTGTAAGTGCCTCAAACCAGGTTTTTGCCTTCTTTTGGACCAACAGCTAAAACATATGTGAGAAAGGCTGAACTTGATGGATGCGGTCTCTTTTCAGCTATGTAGCTATGTAATATATATACAGGTAACTCACAAAACACAAAATCCAGCGTTCAAACGGCAATTTCAAAGCTCACAGAATGTAATTTTTTTTTAAACACCTAACCTAGGCAGAAGTTATAGGAGTTTTGTTATAGTATATGATCATACGATAGGCGTGTGCACGGGGTGTGCCAGGTGTGCCTGGACACACCCTAATCCCCACAGCACGCCTATGGATTGAGTCCTGCAGGAACAGCGTTCCTGCACTTTTTTTGAGCATGAACGCTGTTCCTGCAGGCACTCAGCACCCCCAAATGCCCCCCTTCCTCCCCCCGTGTTGCCCCTGTCATGGGGGGGCAAGAGGTGATGGATAGCCCCTCCTCTCTCCATCTCTGCCGCGGCGAGGGAGCTGTGTGCTCTCTGCTTCCTCTCGCCGCGCGCCGTTTGCTGATGCCGGGAGCCGGAATATGACGTCATATTCCGGCTCCCAGCTACTATAGACAGCCCGCATGGCGAGAAGAAGCAGAGAGCACACAGCTCCCTCGCCGCGCCTGAGATGGAGACAGGCGCCCACCTCACTGGACCCCAGGGACAAGTCCACGCCAGCACTACAGGTAGGGAGACTGGGTGGACATTTTTTTATTAAAAAATAATAATTTGTATGTGTGTGTGTCTGTGAATGTGTGTGTATGTGTGAGTGTGTGTGTGTGTCTGTGAATGTGTGTATGTGTGTCTGTGAATGTGTGTGTGTCTGTATGTGTGTGTGTGTCTCTGT